AGTACCTGCGCCTGCGCGTCGCCAATTCAGGCGCTTTCCCTTTCCTGGCGACCAATCCACTTCCTGCCTCCGGCCCTCGGAACACTCCTCCCCTCAGCTGGGGCCCTGGCTCGAGGTGCTGGTTGTGGCTGCCCTATTAATTGCCTGACTGAAAAATTCACTTCTGTCACTGAGGGGACAATTTGAACAAGCCGCTGAGTGTGCGGCACCGACCTGAGCCTTTGCTCGCGATTAACCACGCTGGAGCTGAGCTAAGGGTACCGCTATGCCCGGAGATGGGCGACCCGGACTGGTTTCGATTTGGCAATCGCGCGGGCACCTTCTTCCTTTCCCCTTCCCTCCGCCCCGCCCCCACTTCGCAGCCTGGCCGCGCTGGTGAGTGGCGGGCGGGAGGGCCGGAGGGCGGAGGGAGGAGGGGGAGCTGAGGGAAGGCGGGCCCTCGGCTGCTAGATAGGTAGGGGGAGGGGAGGGGAGAGCCCGAGCGCTGGAGTTGGTGCTGGGAAACCCGGGGCTAATGTTGACAACAGGCTCGAGGTGAGTCCCGGGGAACCTCCTTTCCCTCCGCTCCAACGACCGGGAGGAAGCGGGGCTGAGGGGCACCGGCCTGGACTCCTACTCCCTGGGGGACTCAAGAGACGACTCCTCACCTCAGCGCTCTGGGGGCGGCAAGCAGTAGACGGACCGCGGGTCCAGCGTCGTCCTCCTCAGACCCCTTTCTCGGAGGCTCCCACCAACGCGGGAGCCTCCGGCCTGGGGCAGGCATGAGGGATTGTAGAGGGGGTTCCTGCCTCACATACCCGGGTTGGGCCTCGGGGCTGGAGACGGCAAGCCTGCTGTGGCGGGGTGAAGGTGTTTGGGGGTGTGGAGTAGAGTGAGGGGAGGTGGGGAAAAGCTTTTCGGGAGCCGGGAGGGAAGCGAGGGCGAGGAAATGGGGAGGGTGCGTATGTGGGAGGATGTGGAGTACGGAGACCAGCCGGAGAGGCTCGGTCTTAGGTGGTGAGCGAGTGTGGGGTGAGAAGTTTGGGGTTGGAGCAAGGATGGTTGGCGAAGGTGACCGTGGATACCCGTAGAAGGGGAGTTGTGGCGGGGAAGCGTGTTAGTTATAGGAATGTGGAGCGAGAGCAGGGGTTTGTGGGAGATGAGTATGTAGGGGAAGGGGTTTGAGTGTAGTTGGGAATGGTGGGCATAGGTTTTTGGCTTACTTCTTTTTAGTCTCATAGGCTGGGGATTTTTCACTTTACCTTCTTCCCAAGGCTCCTGGTAACTCTCTTGTTAGTGCTGTTGAACTAAGGAGATGATCACAGGATATTTGGTCTCCAGGTTGGTCAAGCAGAGCCAGCTAACAGGCTTGGGGGTACACACTGGACCGGACCGTCAGCTCTTCTTCTGTTTTAGGACTTGTAGGTGGTGATGCATCAGACCCGAGTAAAACAACTGTTTCCCTTCTTATTGAACATGGTTTTTATGTGTTTATAAAAATTGTACAACTCATCAAGAAACCAGTTTTGAACTCTGGTGAAATTCGTAAAAACTTTGAATGAGTCCTTTATAATAACTTTGGACGATCTTTAAAGTCGAAGACTGGGAAGTAATGCCCGTATGTGGTTCTGCCCTTTGAACAAATTGAATAACAGAATTGAAAGGTAAACAGCATTCTTTTACACTGGAGTATTTTCAGTGCAGTCTGATTGTGATTTCATACAGAGTCCATATGGTACTTTGCAAAGCAATATCTTTAAAAGGGAAACACCCCTTTTTCTGTACTCTGTCCCCCAGGACACTCCATTGGTATCTGTTTTACTAGTAAAGTAGTTTTACTTTCTTGTGGAAGTTCGGAATATATTTAGAAAACCAAGTAAAACATAAAGCCCAAGGGCCAGGATACTATTTTGGGAGCTAGGAAGGTGGTTTTAAAGCATAGCTTCCTTTTAAGGACTGTCTGAATGTAATTGTACTCAGTAAAAAATTTGTAAGAGCTAATTATATTCCAATTAAAAGATCACTAATTTTTATCTGTACTATGTTGAGATAGAATCTTAAATAGAATCTATTTAAAATTCTAGTTTTTACTTGAAAAACTTTTTGAAACTTTAGGTAAAATATTTGGCTGCATGGATTTATTAAAATAATTAAAAGAATTTTAGCATTTCATTAATGCTCAGTTTAAGTTTTTTAATTGACATAATACAAATGCATACTGATAAGAATCATGTTTGTGTATTTTTTTTTTTTAAATCTTAGAGTCAGGGTATATATTGGAAAAGAGCACTGGACAGTGAGTCTTGACCTAGCCACTAAACTAGTTGTGTAATCTTGGAAGGTCACTCATCTGTTGCCACTTCAGTGTAAAAATTGCGAATCAGAGCAGATAAAATCTAGTAGTTCAAACTCTAAAAATCTCTCATGATAAACTTTTATTAAAAGTTTATTAAAAGTTTATCATGAGAGATTTTTAGAGTTTGAAATGTTTGAAAGAACAAACATTTATTTAATGCATTCCTCATGCTAGCTTCTGTGCTTGTTTAAGAACTCTGTAAGAGAGGTAGCAATATCTCCATTTTATCAATGAATAGACTTAGGGAAATTGTTGCCCAGTTTCCATAGCTAGCAGTTTGTAGAGTTGGGATACAAACAGTCTGTCTGACTTCAAAGTCTATATTATTTTCTCATGTTGCATTGCTACCTTTCTATGAACCTTTATATTTTCGTCATATTTTTTGTCCACTGCAATTTAGTTCCAAGTATACTTTGGTATATGTTTGTAATAGGAGGATGAAGTGATTCAAAGAAGATACTAGTACCAAGACTTATGGGTCTTATTGAGAATTTGTTTTTTCATTCTCTAGTGCAGGATTTAATTCATGAGTGCCTACTACAGTTTGATATAGTAGACACTTAAATGAAGACTAGAGAGTCACAAACATTTAGGAGACTCTGTTGAGCTAATAAATGATGATCCTTTATGAATTTGTCACATTTCAGGTGGATTTCTTAACAGAACTTGATGTCTAATTTTATCTTCATAAATGAGACATTACTGGTGAATTTTGATGCCATTTTTTAAATTGAGAACTATAATTCCTTGCATTGCTGAAATGTCTCTTGTTGATGCTTACTATCAGAAAATACAAATTCTATATAAATATATTTTTTGCACATAATGACAAATAACTCTAAGTAAGATTGTACTGTACTTTAGGAATTATCTTGTCCCCATATGTTTTAGCTAGAATCTGCCAACAGTAAAATATATAATGTAAAAACTGCTTAGCCATTATCAGGGACTCTTTCTCCTCTGAGATACGTAATTCTGTGATTTTTTCTTAGTATTTATGATGAAGTCTTCTTACTCACCATCTAGGTGTTCTCTGGGTTTTTAATAACTTTGGTTAAGGGTATAGGTTCAGATTTCATCTCTGTCACCAGCTGTGGAAGCCTTGGTCAGGTTACGTGATCAAGTCTCACTTTACGCATTTATAAAATAGGGAAAATAATACCCACCTCATAAAGATTTTAGAATCAAATGAGATAAAGTATAAAGATTGTTTACTATGGACCATTGAGTGGTAGCTATTAGTATTATCCTCTCGAAAGTTTCCTTGCTGTAGGACATGATATTTTCATATGAAAGATGAGTATTTAATTGAAGCTGTATAAGAATTGATAACTATTTTTCAGGTAATGTAAATGTTAACACTGTCTTTCCACATAAATAAGAAGTTATGCTCATTTGTATTTCAGTGATTGCTTAAACAGGATTAACAGCTTTTTTTTGGTTCTGATTTTCACTACTAGGGTTAACTAAAGCTTTTGGGTGTCATTGTCAAAATAAATGTGGAGAACATGTGACCTTTTGAGATTGGCTTTTTTCACTCAGAGTGAATGATTAAGTTGCATATATCAAGTTCTTTTTTATTGCTGAATAGAACTGCATGCTATGTGTGTAACCTACTTATGTCATACTCGAAATAAATTTCGAACTTTAAAAAAAGATAAAAAAATAAAGAACATGCAATGGAGAGTAAGAGAGTAAAAAAGAAAAAGGGGAAGGAAGAAGTGACAAAAGGTACAGACTGGCATGCGTCTCCAAAAATTAAAGTGCTTCTACTGCTGGCCTAGGTCGTAAATAAATGCTTTGTGTGGTAATAAATAATACAATATTTATTATTGCAGATGTTTTCTTTGCTAACCTAGTTTTTAATAGCTGTAATTCAAAACCTGTATTCAAAAATATTTAAGAATACTGTGTGTAGCTTGAGTTTTTAATAAAAAAACCTCGAAAGTTTAACTTACCTTTCTTAAATAGAACATTTTTTTTTTTCTTATACAGTTTTCAGATGATTTAGGGCTTAAAGCATGAACCACTGTCCATAGACGAAATTATGGTAATACACTGGTTATAAGCAGAGAAATTTGTTTTTAGAAATGAAAAATCCTGAATTTTGCTTACAAATACATATTTTTGTTCTTCCAGAGTTTATTTCCAGCTAGCTGTGTAAAACCTGTGCTATAGACCAGTGCTGTCCAATAGAACTTTCTGTGGTGATGATTTGCACTGTCTGATTTGGTAGCTACTAGCCACATTTGGAATTGAGCACTTGAAATATAGTGACTGACGAACTGAATTTCAAATTCTGTTTAATTTTAATTAACTTACATGTAAGCGGCCACATGTGTCTAGTGCAGTGGTTTTTAACTGGTGGCACTTTTGCTCCCACTGGACATTTGGCAATGTCTGGAGTAATTTTTGGTTGTCAAAACTGGAGAGATACTACTAGCATCTAATGGATAGAAGATAAGGGTACTGCTAAACTTGGAATAGTGCACGGGACAGTGTTACCCACTCTACCCTACCCCCTACCTCACCCCCCAGCCAAAAAAAAAACCACCTAAAATATCAATAGTGCTGAGGCACAGAAACCCCGGGCTGGTGGCTACTATACTGGCAGATACAAAACAGAATATACAAATTTTA